ACAGCAAAGGGACCAAGAATATTCAATGTGAGAAAAGACAGCCTTTTCAATCAATGGTGTTGGGAAAACTGGACAGCTACATGCAATAGAATCAAAGTGGACTACTTTTTGACACCAGGTACAAAAATGAATTGCAAATGGGTTAAACACTGAAATGTAAGGCATGAAAATCTTAAACCTACTAGAGAAAAACAGGCTATACACTCTGACCTCAGTCTTAGCAATACTTTCTGGACATGTCTCCTCAGGCAAGAGAAAGAAAAGCAAAAATAAACAAATGGGACTACATCAAACTAAAAAGCTTTTGCACAGTGAAGGTAACCATAAACAAAAGCAAAAGACCACCTACTGAATAGGAGATTTTGCAAACGATACATTCAACAAGGGGTTAATACTCCAAAATATATAAAGAACTCATGCAATTCAACATAAAAAAAAACCTGGGTTAAAAATAAACCGAGTACCTGTGACATTCTTCTCAAATGCGTTCTCTGCTAGAGCATCTTTGTCTGGCCTACTTCTTCATTCCCTGCAGTATATTTGGTCTTACCCTGTGTTAAATCTGAAACTTCTGCTTTCCTATAAATTCTGTGTGTCAACTAATACCCTTACCCTTCTAATAACTTTTGCCTAGGTTACTTAACTGAGTTCTGTTCTTGCACCCAAAACTTTAAACAAGTATCCAAAATCAGTACCAGCGAGTGCATGGATGACATTGCTTGAGGGAAAACTAGGGTTTGGGAATGGCTTGCATGGCCAAAAATATGATATAAGAAAAAGAAACTTCCTTTTATGTTGGCGATAAAACCTAGATGTTCACATAATTTGTGACAAAATTATCTACTAACTTATCCCATGATTAAATGGAAACTTATACCCACTGAAAGCAAGAGTCTAATGGACCAATACAGTCACCCTTTTGAAATATCATTATAGCATGGTTAATTCAGAGGCTGCAACATACCGTGAGTGCTTCAGATAAGTTATAGCAAAAATTGAGCTCAGATTCTTAAGTTCTCATCTTTAGGGAATTTCTGTCACCATAACAAGGTAATCTCTTATATTTTATAGGTGCGGAAATGAAATTGCAGAAAACTAAACCAGCGTGTCAGCTTTTGGTTTGCTGAGCATACAGATATGTTGATTCATTCCTCCAATATCTCTCATAAAATTAACTCAGGATTCCTGGATGTGTAACATTACTTAAAACATTTCAAAATTGTGATATTTTTGAAACTCTCCCTCAGTCACATTTGCATAAGGAAGTAAACCTCCCTGTTGGGGCCATTCCCTGCTCAGTTTAAGATGCTGCTACTCCTTTGCCTGGGGATGTTTCCTTGAAAGAAAAATTCATAATTCCCCTTTCATCCCACTCCTTACTTTCATTTTATAAGCTCAGTTACTGGCACCAGAACCCAGCATGCTGAGACATAAATACTGCTCCAATGCAGATGCAGAATTTGTGGAAGACTGGCTTAATATTTTGAGTATTTTGTGGGTACTTATTGGCAAAAAGTGAAGTATTTTGGTGTGAATGAGTTTGTAGGGCTCTTTTACTTGAGGGGGAGGGAGATATTGGGCAGAATTCTTACTTATCAAAGACTTGAAAATTACGTGCTAAGTCACATATCTAGAAGTCTGATGGTTGGGTTCACAAATGCAATTCATTAATGAATACTGGCTCTCCCAAAAGGAAGCTGAGACACTAGAAACACTGGGAAAATTGTAGAAAAAATAAATACAATATGTTTAGGAGACTGTAGTGCTAAGGAGTGGTAACCATGGATGTTGTGGTCTCATATATCCTGGTTAAGTGCCCCTGAGATGTCACAAAATCTTTCCTTCACCAGCGACAGAGCAAACATTGAGCAACTTTCCAAGCAGTTGTGATGCTTCTCACTAAAGATGTTTGATTAAAATTAAAATGGCCTTCCTGATTCAGTGAGAATTGGTGTGTGAGAGTGTTGATATTGTGGCATCTGACTGAGAGAGCAAAGGAAGATTTGGTAAACATGATAGTAGCAGCTTTAGCTTATTAGTCCAAATGGGTGGGTATGGTTTGGTGGTCCCCACCTACAGTTATTTAATTATGAGGTGTCTAGGAATAAGTGGACACCCTTCTGAGAGACTGAGATAAAGATAGAGAGATAGATAGACAGGTAGATAGATGGATGGATGAGTAGATAGATAAGTAAGATCTAATCAACAGAGACCTGACTTGAGCCACCATGATTCAGATTATGCCCCATCTCCCAGTTCTTAGACCTGAGTTGGTTCTCACAGAGTCACTGGGATGAAAAGAAGGCTGGACACTCTTGAGTAAGACGTGAACTAAAATGCTTCCGATATGCCTTCTTTGAATGTTTTGTTGACTGATTTTAGGGTGACCAAACACTGAAGAAAACTATATACCCAAACATTTTTGTGGACTTTTGGGGCTATTTAGATCCTGTCTCAGAACTATCCATCAGAGGGACAAAGAGCCTGAAATTTCTTGAAGTAAATATTTCCAGTAGTTTGTATCCTATTTGAAAGTTCCTTGTCTGTTTTTCACTTTCTGACTTCCTGGAATGTTGCCTAGGGACTCACCCTCTGCAGCCTTCCCATCGTATATGTGCAGCCAGAGCAAAACAAAATGTATAGATCTGAGTATCTTTTGGTTAAGTCATCCAAAGTTTATTTATGTAAGTTTCCACAAAAGAAACCTAACTGTAAGATATTCAGTTGAGGAAACTGATACTGATCATCAGTGTCAAACGATGTGAATAAATGAATGATTGTTTAAAAGTTGATAAGGGAAGAAGAAGCTATTTTAAAAATCTAGAAGTCATATTCTGTAAAACTAAGAAATATGAAAATCAGTCTTTGGTTCAAGTATTTTGGAGGGGTTGTCCTTTTTTTTTATAAAATTAGAATAATTAAGAAATGACATTGAGATGGATTCTTTTGTCACGTTGCTTTCAGTTGCAGGATTCCTTGCTCTTTTCTTATCCCATCCTTTCCCTCTCCCATCCCTCCCTCTCCCTCAGCAGTAAGCAGCTGTGTCCTCCCTGAGATCACTAAGATAATGGCAGATACACACCCAAATGTTTTTATTGATTTTCTGACTTACACTGGCATTATGGGATAGGGCAAGGTGACATCACATACTCACTGCACAAGAGTAAGAATAACAGTCCAATATCAATTCAAATGTCAACATTTTTGCAACATCTACTCAGTTCAGCTCCTCTAATCACCACAACAATTTCAATCTTATAATACACTAAAACTGTCTTAAAGGAAAACAAATGGAGCAAGCTCTGGGTCCTTGTCCACAGATGTTTAATTTGGTAATTTTAACTTTTCCAAGTTTTTGACTTATCATTTGCAATCATCTGAGTCAGAGAATCTTGGCATTCTGGCAATAGAAAATATTATAAATGCCCTCACCAAGGTTCTGCATCAATACGCTAAACATTAGGTAAACATTAAAAATACATTAAATTTAAAGACAAAATGCAGCACATGATGTCATGGGACAATCAATATTCGTCCATGTCTAAAAACTTACAACCAGGGACAATAAGGCAATGCAGTACAAACAAGTTAAGAGTGTTTGAGATGTCTGATGCAATCTTCAGCTTCTCAAGACCATATCACTGTTGAAAGACTTCTCCAGGTGGATTTTTAAGTACAGTTTCAAAGTCCCGTCAAAGTAACAACTTATATGTGATGCAGAACACAATCTTCAGACTCCTGGAATGTGACAATGTTTCATAAATAATCCATTTATCATTGAAAAAGAAAATACTTTCTGAATAAAAGCCAGTGAAAAGCTGGTCAGACATTGGCTTCTTCTGATGGAATCCTGATCCCACACATAATGAGATAAATTAGGCACTAGTTTTCGTACAGAGGCCTGTGAACCCATAAAAAATTTTTTACCAAGGAAAGTGTTTATGGCAGTTAAAGGAAAATAGGAGAGAGCTTAATTTAACACCTTTGAAAGCATTCTGTGTTGATTTTCAATTTCCCCAGATTCCTTCCAACATTTGGATTGGTCTGTGCAATGCTACTTTTGAGGTTATGCACTGCACGGAATACTGTAATCTGTTACGGCTGCAAAACAGAATATAATTCACCACACTAAAACGTAAAATGAATGAATCTAGGCTGTATTCTTATTCAATATTATATTGCCTTTTCCCAATAGTCCTAAATAACCCACGCTTGTCAAACACATCAGAGTGACATTCTAAGGCTAATGGGCATGAAAAAGAATTAAGTAAAACCTGGACTTAAAAAGGGTATTTTCCAGGCTTGTAGTAATCAGTGCCAAAGATCAGTTTCCCAAGCTGATTTGGATTCCTATTTTGCCCTCAAATGGTATTTTTCTGAATATCAAGAAGAATGTTAATATCTGAGCACCAAGGAAGATGGTAGGTTACACCTTTAGGGAGGAGATAGGTATAACCTTGGTTTATTAAGTCACTTAGCTTCTCTCTTTTTCTATTAAATAAGAATAATTATTTCTCAAACCTCTTACCCTAATAAACATTAATCCATAAAGATGCATGTTATTGTGCATTCATGGAAGGAGGCTTTGCTAGCTAAACAAAAACAGAAAAATAGAAGACCTAATCAAAGTTCCATATTTTAGGTTTTCACAGTGCCAAATTTAATGGGCAAAACTGGTAATTATATTTTATCCCTTAGCTTTAGTTTTGGTCTAGAATTTAATGTTGTCTAGACTTAGGCACTTTAATTGTTTAGCTAAAGCATTACTTAATTCAGTTGAAAAAATGGTGAACTCTGGCACAACTTTCTCTGGAATTTGGTTTCCTTTAATACCTGTCAAGTCTGGGGGATACCGCGTAACCACTCTTTCCTTCTCAACTGACATCTGACATTTAGGACTAATCACATTATAAGATTACCACGTATTTTAATAATCCAAACACACTCATCCATAGACAAACACACACGTGCATGCACACAGACATGTACTTAGACACGTAATCCAGCTATCCATAGGGGTTATTGTAAAGCCTTGTGAAGTTTTTAACTGCAATTTTCAAATTCACTTCATTTCAATATAGTGATTTCATTAATTGCAGGCCAATAAATTGTATTACCCCAAAGATAAAGAACATGAGCTGCAAACATCATAAATATCATCAAACGTTCTCATCATACGAGAGCATAGTAGGAGGATCATGCCATTCAAGGAGAACCAGACAAAATGTCATAACTTCAACCAACTCAATGCAGTCTTCTCATGTTTCTTCTTCTTTGGCCCCTTTAATTCACAAAAGTCACTGGTTATTTTACCTTTCCTTTTCCTGTTCATCATATGCACATGTTCTCACATCTTTGGCGTGACATCAAAAACAAAATACAACACTGGCATTTATACTGACTGTTGTTTGCGTATAAGCCAATTGGGTCACACGGTTTCCAAGTTAATCCTTATGCTAAGTATTTTCTAAATTTTATTTAGCCATACAGGGAGGAGAAATAGTAAAATATTGTACTTCTGCAGTTACATACATATTATTACCTGGAAGGTGAGAAATACAGAAAATTTTCATGGGTGTCCAGACCTTTAAATTTAACATAGCCTTGAGGAAAAGGGAAAAGTAAATAGTGAAAAGTGAATCTGCAGCTTTCTTTATAGGACATTATGAATGCCGTTGAATAAAATAGTTAAGGTTTTTGGTTTTGCTTTTTTTTCCCCCCCAAAAACCCTGAGCTTTAAATGCCTAAGTCTAGGAGATTCAGAGGACAAGAACAAATGATGCAAGAAACAGTAAACAAGTAGAAGCACATTTAGAGTAAAACTTTTTTCTTCCAGAGGACTTTTCTCATGGCATCTTTAACATCCTTATTTCTTAGAGAGTAGATTAAAGGGTTCAGCATAGGTGTGAATAAAATGTAACATACTGAAGCCACTTTACGAAGTTCCGGGTTATTTGGAGGCGTGAGATACACAAAGGAGACAGTCCCATAGAGCAGACTTACAACCCCCAGATGGGAGCTGCAGGTGGAGAAGGCTTTCTTCCTGCCTTCACTGGAGCGGATCTTTAAAACTGTGGACACAATGTACATGTAAGATACAACAATCACAACTATCGTGGGCAAAATAATGAGGACGGCCAAACTAAGTGACACCATCTTATTGGTAAAGATATTGGAACAGGAGATCTTCTCAATTGGGTTTGAATCACAGTAGAAGTGATCAATGACTCGAGAGGCACAGAAGGACATTGAGAATGTTACACTGATTTGAAGAATGGAACTGACCCAGCCACAGAGGTAGGAACCAGCCACCAGCTGGATACAGAGGCTTCTTGACATGCGGACAGTATAGAGGAGAGGGTTGCAGATGGCAATGAAGCGGTCATAGGCCATGGCTGCCAGGACAAAGGCCTCTGTTACCATGAAAAGTGCATAAAGGAACAGCTGAGCAACACAACCTGCAAAGGATATGGTCTTTTTCTGAGACAGGATGTTGACCATGGCCTTGGGTACAATGACAGTGGAGTAGGCGAGGTCAATGACGGAGAGGTTGCCTAGGAAGAAATACATTGGTGTGTTCAGCCGGGGATCAGTCACAATGATGCCAATCATGCTAAGATTCCCCAGAAGGACCATCCCATAAACAGTCAGGAACAGCAGGAAGAGGAGAATGTGGAGCTCTGGGCGGACCCTGATGCCTGCAAGAACGAAGTCAGTCACTTCTGAATGGTTGTCTCCTCCCTTGTCCCCCATGGCAAATTTCTGCTTAAAGACATAAGAGAAAGTCAACAAATAAAGATTCTACTCTCTCTGCTATCACAAATAACACTTCACATTTTAAAAGGCCTTATGGTTGACATAATACTTCCATACCCATTATCCCATTAAGCTTACACACATGTGCAAAGAAAGGTAAGAGATAGTTTGACTTGCCCAAGGTAACATAACTCATTAAAAATGGAATTTGGACTCAAGGGGAAATATTTTGAATTCAAGTCTACTGTTAATTTCAACACAACATAGTTTGATACTTCTTTGTATCTATCTTGTCAAATGAGATGTTTCATGAGATATCCATGTGTGATATCAAAATATTAAAGTCTGATAAACTCTTCCTAAGAAAAAGACACTTTAAATTTTAATTTATGATTTAATACTCATTTTTTTCTCTGTAATAATACTTTGCTTCAATGCAGTAAAAAAAGAAGGAAGGAAGGAAGGAAGAAAGAAAAAAAGTAAAGAAAGAAAGAAAGAAAGAAAGAAAGAAAGAAAGAAAGAGAGAGAGAGAGAGAAA